GGGAGGTTTGCTCAAGCTATACGGGATGGTTTAAACAAGATTGGCAGGGGGTGGGGAACTGGATTTGTAATTCAAAGGATGAGGTATTCAGCCTTCCAAAAGACACAACAGGGAGTGAGGTTGTTAATAAAGAAATGTGGTCGATGGAACGTAATTATGGACACAGAGATGGTTTGAGGTGTGCATACTTCAATGCTAGAAGTATCAGAAATAAGGCGGATGAACTTAGAGCATGGGTCAGTACTTGAAACTACGATGTTGTGGCCATTACAGAAACTTGGGTAACTCAGGGACAGGAATGGTTGTTGGAAGTTCCCGGATTTAGATGCTTTAAAAGAAATAGGGAAGGTGGAAAAAGAGGCGGGAGAGTGGCATTGCAAGTCAGGGCTAGTATAGCAGCTACTGAAAGGCAGTTCAAGGATGATATGTCTACAGAGTCAGTTTGGGTTGAGGTCTGGAACAAGAAAGGAACAGTTACTTTGTTGGTTTTTTTTTTAAACAGACCCCCTAACAGTTGCAGAGAAGTGGAGGAGCAGATTGGGAGGCAGATACTGGAAAGGTGTAGAAGTCATAGGGTTGTAGTCATGGGTGACTTCAACTTTCCAAATATTGATTGGAAACATTTTAGTTGTAATAGTTTAGATGGAGCGGATTTTGTCCAGTGCGTTCAGGAAGGATTCCTGACACAGTATGTAGATAGACCAACACGAGGAGAGGCCACTTTGGATTTGGTGCTTGACAATGAACTGGGCCAAGTGTTAGACCTGTTGGTAGGAGAGCATTTTGGCAGTAGCGATCATAACTCTGTTACTTTTACAATAGTCATGGAAAAGGATAGGAACATACAGCAGGGTAAGGTTTATATTTGGGGGAAGGATAATTACAGTTCCGTTAGGGAAGAACTGGGTAACATAAAATGGGAACAGATGCTGTCAGGGAAGAGCAGTATTGAAATGTGGAGATTGTTTAAGGAATGCATACTGCGTGCGCTCGATATGTTTGTCCCTAGCAGGCAGGGAAGATGCAGTCAAGTGAGGGAGCCTTGGTTCTCAGGAGAGGTCAAACAACTGGTTAAGAGGAAGAAGGATGCTGATGTAAGATTCAGGAAACAAGGAACGGAAAAGGCTCTAGAGGGATACAAGTTATCCAGGAAGGAGCTGAAGAAAGGGCTTAGGAGAGCTATAAGGGGGCATGAGAAAACCTTGGCGGATAGGATCAAGGAAAACTCCAAGGCTTTTTACATGTACATGAAGAATAAGAGAATGACCAGAGAAAGGGTAGGGTCGATCAAGGATTGTAAAGGGAATTTGTGCACGGACCCTAAAGAGATAGGAGAGGTCCTTAATGAATACTTTTCTTCAGTATTCACAACTGAGAGGGACCTTGTTGTAGAGAAGGACAGTGTCAAACAGGCTGGCAGGCTAGAGGAGGTCGCTGTTAGTAAGGAAGATGTGCTAGGAATTTTGAGGAAGTTGAAGAAAGTTAAGTCCCCTAGGTCTAATGGGATTTATCCAAGGATTCTATGTGAAGCGAGGGAAGAGATCGCAGGGCCTTTGGCGATGATCTTTTCGTATAGTGCCGAAGATTGGAGAGAGGCAAACGTCATTCCTTTGTTCAAAAAAAGGGAATAAGGATAACCCCGGAAATTACAGGCCAATTAGTCTTACGTCAGTGGTGGGCAAATTATTGGAAAGGGCTCTGAGAGATAGGATTTATGATCACTTGGAAAGGCACAGTTTGATTCGTGATAGTCAGCATGGATTTGTGAGGGGTAGATCATGCCTCACAAACCTTACCGAATTCTTTGAAGAGGTGACCAAACACGTGGATGAAGGTCGAACAGTGGATGTGGTATACATGGATTTAAGTAAGGCGTTTGATAAGGTTCCCCATGGTAGGCTCATGCAGAAGGTAAGGAGATATGGGATAGGGGAAATATGGCAGATTGGATTCAGAATTAGCTGACCCTTAGAAGACAAAGGGTGATAGTGGACGGAAAATATGCAACGTGGTGCTCAGTTACGAGTGGTGTACCACAAGGATCTGTTCTGGGTCCTCTTCTATTTGTGATTTTTGTAAATGATTTGGATGAAGGAGTGGAAGGGTGGATTAGTAAGTTCGCGGACGATACGAAGGTGGGTCGCGTTGTGGACAGTGTGGAGGGCTGTTCTAGGTTATAAAGGGACATTGATAGGATGCAGAGCTAGGCTGAGAAGTGGCAGATGGAGTTTAACCCTGAAAAGTGTGAGGTGATTCATTTTGGAAGGAAAAACTTGAAAGCAGAATACAGGGTTAACGGAAAGATTCTTGGCAGTGTGGAGGAGCAGAGGGATCTTGGGGTTCATGTCCACAGTTCCCTGAAAGCTGCTACCCAGGTGGATAGAGTTGTTAAGAAGGCGTATGGTGTGTTAGCTTTCATTAATAGAGGGATTGAATTCAAGAGCCGTGAAGTTATGCTCCAGCTATACAAAAGCCTGGTTCGGCCACATCTGGAGTATTGTGTCCAGTTCTGGTCGCCTCATTACAGGAAAGATGTGGAAGTATTGGAAAAGGTGCAGAGGAGATTTATCAGGATGTTGCCTGGAATGGAGGGAAGGTCTCACGAGGAAAGGTTGAGAGAGCTAGGGCTTTTCTCTTTAGAACGACAGAGGATGAGAGGTGACTTGATAGAGGTGTACAAAATGATCAGAGGTATAGATAGACAGCCAGAGACTTTTTCCTAGGGTGGAGGTAGCTATTATGAGGGGGCATAGATTTAAAGTGAGTGGAGGTAGATATAGGGGAGACGTCAGAGTTAGGTTCTTTACTCAAAGAGTGGTCGGGGCGAGGAATGCATTGCCAGAGAGGGTAGTGGAGTCGGCCTCGTTAGGGGCATTTAAGCAGCTATTAGATAGGCATATGGATGATAGTATAAGGTAGGGGTGGAGGTTAGATAGACCTTAGGATTAGGGTAAAAGTTCGGCACAACATCATGGGCCGAAGGGCCTGTACTGTTCTATGTTCTAATACTCATGGTATGGCCTCACTAAGGCCCTGTATAACTGCAGCAAGACATCCTTACTCCAATACTCAAATCCTCTCGCTATGAAAGCCACCATGCCATTAGCTTTCCTCTGTGCCTGCTGCACCTGCATGCCAACTTTCAGCGACTGTTCCACCATGACACCTCGGTCTCGTTGCAGCTCACCTTTTCCTAAATTGTCACCATTCGGATAATAATCCGCCTTCCTGTTTTTGCCACCAAAGTGGATAACTTCACATTTATCCACATTATATTGCATTTACCAAATAGTTACCCACTCAGCCAGTCTGTCCAAGTCACCCTGCAACCTCTTGGCTTTTTCCTCACAGCACACATTGCCACCCAGTTTAGTGTTGTCTGCAAATGTGGAGATACTGGCTTTCAATTCCTTTGTCCAAATCATTAATGTATATTGTGAGCAGCTGGGGTCCCAGTACTGAACCCTGCGGCACCCCACTCGTCACTGCCTGCTGTTCTGAAAAGGACCCATTTATTCCAACTGTCTGCTTCCTGTCTGCCAACCAGTTCTCTATCCACGTCAATACATTACCTCTGATATCATGAGCTTTAATTTTGCTTATTAATGTCTTGTGTGGGATCTTGTCAAAACCCTTTTGAAAGTCCAGATACACAACATCTACTGATTCAGCCTTGTTCACTCTACTAGTTGCATGCTCAAAAAATTCCAGAAGATTTGTCAAGCATGATTTCCCTTTCATGAATTGATGCAGACTTGGACCGACCTTGTTACTGCTTTCCGAATGCTTAGCTATTACATCCTTAATAATTGACTCCAGCATTCCTCCCACCACTGATGCCAAGCTAACTGGCCTATAATTCTGTTTTCTCTCTCCCTCCTTTTTTAAGAAGTGGGGTAACATTAGCTACCCTCTAGTCCATTGGAACTCTTCTAGAGTCTATAGAATGCTGGAAAATGTTCACCAATATATCCAATGTTTCTAGGGCCACTTCCTTAAATACTTTGGAATGCCGAGCTTAAGGCATTGGGGACTAATAAGGATTTCCTTCAGTTTCTCCTTCATGCTTGACCCTGTGTCCTCTAGCATTTTTGGAAGGTTATTTGTATCCATCTTGCACCATCCCTCAAGCCACGTATTCACCTTAGCTGTCCTGCTATTCCTACTCTGACTAGCGCATGTTACTGGTAGCAATCCCAAGATTTTTAGCATTGAGGTCCTACTTTTTAGGTTAACTCCAACTCCCTAAATTCAGCTTGTAGGACCTTATCCCATTTTTAAAAATCTATATCTCTGGTGCCTAAATGCACCATATTAGCTGTTCATCCTCCCTCACCAGAATGTCCTGCAGCCTCTCTGAGACATCTTTGACCCTTGAACGAGGGAGGCAACATACCATCCTGGACTCCTGTTTGTAGCCGCAGAAACGCCTAGCTGATCCCCTTACAATTGAATCCCCTATCACTATAGCTCTGCACCTCTTTCTCTTGCCCTCCCATGCAGCAGAGCTAAGCATGGTGCCATGAACCTGGCTGCTGCCACCTTCCCCTGGTGAGCCATCTCCCCCAACAGTGTCCAAAATGGTATACCTGTTTTGGAGGGAGATGATCACAAGGGGCCCCTCTACTGCCTTCCTCCTCTTCCTCTATTTGGTGGTCACCCATTCCCTATCTTCCTCAGTAATTTTTAGCTACGGTGTGATCAACTTATTGAACGTGCTATCCACAAATCCCTGAGCGTCACGGATGCTCAAAAGTCAATCCAGCCACAGCTCCAGAACTGTCAACTGATCAGACAAGAGCTGCAGCTGGACACACTTTATGTACATGAAGGAATCAGAGACATTAGAAGGGTCCCTGAAACCACACCACATAGGAGGAGCATGACACGGGTCTGGGATCTCCTGCCATGAATTTATTCTTGAATTAACAACATGAGCAAAGCCAAGAAAGCAATAAGTTAAAGAAATACTACTTATTAGTCACCAGCCACTTACTTACCTGCTGGCTGTACGTTGTGGTTCAATTTCCTTCTACTTCCTCTTTGTTTTGTGCCTGCAGCAGCTGCAGTTGTTTGCTCCTTCAACGGCTACTTCTCCCGGCTTGTTTGCACCCTTTTATCTGGGCCTCCCTCCTCCCTCCTCCCTCCTCCCTCCTCCCTCCTCCCTCCTCCCTAATTTAGCTTAACTATGAGTGCTTCCCTCTGTGCTGGTAGCACTTTAGGCCTGGCTTTTATACCCTTGGCCTGTCCTGCTTCTCTCAACCTTTGCCAGAATCCAGTGCAGTCACTTCTCACTAGCGCCCACTGTTGGATGTCTTTCACTTGGTAAATCTCACTTGGGAAATAAAATCAGACAATGCTGGAAATATGCTGGTCTGCTGACATCTGAAGTTTCATCAGAACTGGGCCTAATGCTATGTTGGTCTTCATTGCAAGGGAATTCAATTATAACAGCAAGGACATCTTGCTACAATTTTATAAGGATCTGCTAAGATCAATCTCAAGTACTTTTTGACCAAAGGGTAGTTAAAATAGCTAATTTTCTTTCCCAAAATATTTGGAGGCTGAGTCAATTGCAATATTCAGAACTGAAACTGATGCATTTTTTTAGTCAATAAATATATCAAGAGCCATAGATTAAAGACGGATAAATAGAGTTCAGGAGCAGCTCATTTATGATTGTTTATAGGTATAGACATTCCATTGTTTAACACTAAACAGGGAGAGAGGGAATGCATGTGTACCAGCCTGTAGAGAAGCAAATAATTGATAGAAGATGATAAGATGTACTGGTAAAGTGAGTGGGCAAAAATTTAGCAGATGGAATATAATCTGGGAAAATGTGAGGTTCTGCACTTGTCAGGAAGTCTAGAGGAGTTGTATATTATTTAAATGGAGAAAGACAGAATAAGAGTCATAGAGAAGGCAAATGAAATGTTGGCCTTTATTTCAAAAGGAATGAAGGACAGAAGTGGGAGATTTTGCTAAAATGATACAAGACTCCAGTCAGATGACATCTTAAATGCTGTGAATAGTTTTGGGCTCCAAGGGAAGGTACACTGGCGTGGGAGGCAGTCCAGAGATGGTTCACTGGGTTGATGCCATGTATGGAGGGGCCTTCTCCTGAGGACAAGTTAAGTAGGTTGGGTTTGTGCTCACTGGAATTTCGGAAAATGAGAGGCGATCTTATTGAAACATACAAGATTCTCAGGGAACTTGAAAGGATAGATATGAAAAAGTTATTTCTCCTTGTAGAACAGCTTAGGACTCAAGGGCATAACCTCAGAATAAGTGGTTGCTCATTTAAGAATGAGGTGAGAAGGAATCTCTTCTCTTGGAGGGTAATGGATCTACAGTATTCCTCATCGCAGAAGGCTCTCACCAAGGGAAAGGAGGATTATGGGGAAAAGGCAGGAAGGTAGAGTTGATGATTATCAGATCAGCCATGATCTCATCACAGGAGATGGGTGAGGTCCTGAATGAATATTTCACATAATATTTACCATGGAAAAATATATGGAAGCTAGGGAACTCAGGGAAATAAATAATGATGTCTTGAAAAGAGTCCAAATTACGGAAAAGGAGGTGCTGGAGATTGTAAAACATGTAGAGGTAGATAAATCCTTGGGACCTGATCAAGTATATCCCAGGACATTGTGGGAAGCTAGGGAAGAAATTGCTGGGCCCCCTGCTGTGATGTTTGTATTATTGATAGCCACGGGTGAGGTGGACGGTGGCTAACGTTGTACCATTATTCAAGAAAGGCTGCAGGGAAAATCCAAGGAGCTGTAGGCTGTTGAGCCTGATATCAGTGGTGGGCAAGTTGATGGAGGGGATTCTGACAGACATAATCTACATGCATTTGGAAAGGCAAAGACTGATTAGAAATGGCAGCATGGCTTTGTGCATGGAAAATCGTGCCTCAGAAACTTGATTGAGTTTTTTGAAGAGGTGACCAAGAAGACTGATGAAGGCAGAGCGGTAGACATTGTCTACATGGATTTTATCAAGGTTTTCAACAAAGTTTCTCATGATAGTAAGGTTAGATCACATAGGATCTAGGGAGAGCTAGTCAATTGGAAACGGAATTGGCTGGACGGTAGGCAACAGGGGGTGGTAGTACAGGACTGTTGTTCTGACTGGAGACCTGTGACCAGTAGTTTGCCACAACCATGAGTGCTGGGTCCACAGTTGTTCATCATTTATATGAAAGATTTGGATGAGAATACCGGAGGCGTGGTTAGTAAGTTTGCAAATGACACCAAAATTGATGGTATAGTGGACGGGAAGAAAGTTATCTCAGAGTACAATGGGATCTTGACCAACTGGGCCAGTGGGCTGAAGAATGGATGATGGAGTTTAATTCAGATAAAAGCAGCGTTGTATTTTGGTAAGACAAACAAGTGCAGGACTTACACAATTAATGGGAGGCCCCTGGGGAATGTTTTCGATCAGAGAAATCTAGGGATGCGGGTACATAGTTCCCTGAAAGTGGTATCACAAGTAGACATGGTGGTGAAGAAGGTACTTGGCACACTTGCCTTCATTGGCCAGACCATTGAGTACAGAATTTGGGAAGTCATGTTATGTCTGTAAAAAATATTGCTAAGGCCACATTTGGAAAACTGTGTACAATTCTGGTCACCCTGCTATAAGAAGGATGTTATTAAAGTGGAAAGGGTGCAAAAAAGATTTACAAGGATGTTACCAAGACTGGAAGGTTTGTGTCATAAGGAGGGGCTGGATAGGACTGGGACATTTTCTTTGGAGCATAGGAGGCTGAGGGGTGATCTTAAAGTGGTTTATAAAATCATGATAAGGTGAATAGGAAAGGTCTTTTCCCCAGGGTAGGGGAGTCCAAAACTAGAGGGCACAGGTTTAAAGTGAGAAGGGAAGGATTAAAAAGGGACCTGAAGGGTAATTTTTTCACACAGAGGGTAGTGCGTATAAACTGCCAGAGGAAGTAGTAGATTGCCATGAGGTCATGTTGCAGCTGTACAAAACTCTGGTGCGGCCGCACTTGGAGTATTACGTACAGTTCTGGTCACCGCATTATAGGAAGGATGTGGAAGCATTGGAAAGGGTGCAGAGGAGATTTACCAGGATGTTGCCTGGTATGGAGGCAAGGTCTTATGAGGAAAGGCTGAGGGACTTGAGGCTGTTTTCGTTAGAGAGAAGAAGGTTAAGAGGTGACTTAATAGAGACATACAAGATGATCAGAGGATTAGATAGGGTGGACAGTGGGAGCCTTTTTCCTCGGATGGTGATGGCTAGCACGAGGGGACATAGCTTTAAATTGAGGGGTGATAGATATAGGGCAGATGTCAGAGGTAGGTTCTTTACTCAGAGAGTAGTAAGGGCGTGGAATGCCCTGCCTGCAAAAGTAGTAGACTTGCCAACTTTAAGGGCATTTAAATGGTCATTGGATAAACATATGGATGATAATGGAATAGTTTAGGTTAGATGGGCTTCAGATTGGTTTCACAGGTCGGCGCAACATTGAGGGCCGAAGAGCCTGTACTGCGCTGTAATGTTCTATGTTCTATGGAGATACTGTTACAATATTTAAAAGATGTTTGGACAGGTACATCAAAAGGAAAGGTTTAGAGGGATATGGACCAAATGCAGGCAAATAGAAATAGTTTCGTTCAAGATACTTGGTTGGCATGGATGAGTTAGGCTGAAAGGCCTGTTTCTGTGCTTTATGATTCTATGACTCCATGACTCGATTTAGTGACGAAGCAGACTTGGGCTGAATGGTTTACTTCTACTTCAATGTCTTTTGGTTTTATGGTCTTAAATTGGCAGGTCGTACAGCAGTCTCCCAAGCACATCTTTTTCTTAACTAGAATTGAGTTCTGAATACGGGTAAAGGCAATGATTCATCTGGGGGTGCAACCATAACCAAGTTCTGATGAAGGGTCTAGGCCCGAAACGTCAGCCTCTCTGCTCCTATGATGCTGCTTGGCCTGCTGTGTTCATCCAGCTCTGCACCTTGTTGCCTCTTGTTCCTAATACCGTGCCTGTCTCAGCTATACGAGGTAGGGTGGGATGGAAATGAAGAAGACTGGAAAAGCATTAGTGGTAATAGGTTAGATAATCGGTAGAAAAAGGGTTGCAATCAGAATTTAGGGAGCTAGGTAGACAATTAGTGAAAAGGAATTTAAAAGCAATAATCTCTGGATTATTCAAAGACACAAAACTATGTGGGATGATGAGATGTGTGGAGAATGTTGAGATGTTTCAGTGTGATATAGAAAAGTTGAGAGAGTGGATAAATGCATGGAAGATGAAATATAAAGTGGATAAACATGAAGTTATCCACCTTGGTAGCAAAAACAGGAAGACATTATTATCTGAATGTCGATAGATTGGTAAAGGGAGAGGTGCAATGAGACCTCCACGTCCTTGTAAACCAGTTGCTGAAATTTAGCCCGCAGGTGCAGCAAGCAGTGAAGAAGGCAGATGGTATGTTGGCCTTCATAGCAGAGGATTCGAGTACAGGAGCAGGGACGTCTTGCTGTAATTATACCGAGCATTTGTGAGACCACACCTGGAGTACTGTGAGCAGTTTTGGTCTTCTTATGTGAGGATGGATGGTCTGGCTATGGAGGGAGTGCAGCAAAAGTTTACCACGCTCATTTGAAGACAGACAGGTTTGATTAGGACTGTATCCAGTGGAGTTTATAAGAGCGGAAGGGATGTGGGAGATTGGGGGTATGGCTGGGGGCTGTTTAAGTGGGATGTCAAGGAAACCAGTAAAATTCTAACAGGACTAAACAGGCTAACACAGGAAGGATGTTCCTGATGTCTGGGGCATCCAGAGCCAGAGGTCACAGTCCAAGCAAGTGGCGTAGGCTATTTAGGATTGAGATGAGGAATATTTTCACCCAGAGTGTCATGAACTTGTGGAATTATATACTGCAGAAAGTGCTTGAAGGTGAAACATTGAATTTTTCATCATGGAGTTCGTTATAGTTCTTAGTGCTAAAGAGATCAAAGGGTATGGAAAGAAAGTGGGAACAGGGTACTGAGTTGAATAACTAGTCATTATTGAATGGCAGAGTGGCTCAAAGA